AATTTATGATGACGAAATTAATGTTGATACGTTAATAATGCAAATGCAATCGTGATATTTTTCTGTTATATCCGTAAGCTTATTTTGTAAGTATTATCTCGTGTTTATTTCATTTACTTGGCCATGCACTAGTATTCAAGTCACGCCTAAAGCTCATGTAGTAATTACTTAACTGAAGCAATAGTCGTAGGATATTGTGCCAAATTACACTCAGACTATTGCTCTTGCCAAATTACACTGTGTAAGCTTACCAGACAACCGAGTAATTAATTGTTTAAGCTGATCAATAAGTGTTATACAATATACCACATTCAATTACTTTAGCTGATACTGTTTGATGAAAATATACACCATCTAATTGTAGCCATTGAATGTTGAAAGTAATGTTTTCAACAAAATACTGGCTGAATGATTTTCTCAGAACTTCTCTGAAGAGGGGTGGAGTTATTTTTTATTTCAGTGAACGGAAAATTGTATTTATAATTATAACACTTAACCCCGACGGAAGCTGATATTTCTTTTTAACATTTTACGTTAACATTCTATACTATCCTACAGACTAATAACTTAACAAACAGTTGTGATTACTGAAAATTAGCTTAAAAAAATTAAGTATATTGTTGAATAATTGTAGATTTTTGTACTTAAATAATTAATTTCCTGAACGTCTTATTGTTATGATTATACTGTACAGCAATGGAGAACATATTTGGAAAATATTTATGATCACATATTTTCATTTCAAAAATAAACATACAACTTTTATTTACTACCATATTCGATTCCTCAACTTACATTTTTCTCTCCAAGATAATATTTTCCTAAATCTACACATACACTCTGATGACCATAATGAAAGGCCTTGAGTCAAGGGAGACATTAATGGGTGTTCAACCTCCTTTTTGTGTGATGGTCTTACAGTTCGCACAAGTAATGACTTGGTTAGCCCAAAAATATAGGAAATCTTCAATACAATCCATTAGTATCCATCACAGTATTTCATATAAATTGTGTGATTACTGTAGTACACCAAAGCTTTCTTACCTGCAATATATTGATGATATTTAATACGAGGGTGAATTCTTTTCCATAATATTTTATTTTAAATACATTTTGCGTTTCCTGGTTTTTTGTGTGCATCGCTTTATTCGAGTAGTTGTATTGTTTTCCAATGATTGCTTTATTTTTAATATCATATTACGGCACCATGTTTAGTTACTTTATGGAATATCCGATTAACTTGATTAAATTTAAATTGTACTTAATAAATTGTTTCTTTAGTAGTTACTTAAAAAATTAAGTATTTAAGTAAATGTTAAAACAATCAATGGATAGAAAAAAATAACTTAAATTTGTCTAGCCTTGCACTTCCCTATAAGTTGTAGAAGCCCAAAAATGATCCTTGACCTTTTCTGTGGGCTTTTGGTCCGCCTTCGCACCCTACTCTCTAGCCCGGGGCCGTTTTCGCATTATTCCAAGATATGTCTATAGATAGTGGTGGCGTTATCACTTAAAACACTTGGTGATTGTCTAGATTTGAACCCGGGACCTCCAGAAACGAAGCCCCGCACTTTATCACAAGAACATTTCGTTTCCTAAGTAAGGGTAAGCAGGGACCTTGTACTGTATGTTCCATCGCCCACAACAAATTTCCTCCCTTACCTAGGTGTTCTCAACATCCCCAGGAGGGTGACGTGAAACTTCCCGAACATCCTCCACAGACCACAGAACACCTTACTGTCTCTAAGATGGCATCTAATTTCGAGAAGCCATAATGGTAAAGTAGAGGTAGAATAATTTACTTAAAGGATTCTTTATGAAATACACAATATCTGAAAACATCGCTACCTCCTCTAGTGTACGATCAAACGATATACGTTACACGATACCACCTTTCTTATTAAGTTTGATATTAAACGGGATCGAACCTTTGTAAATATTAAACCTCCATCTTATTTTGTTTTCCAATTAAGTTTATTTTCAGCTGATGCAACGATATACGTTACGATTTGTTTTCCTTATTTGATCTTGAATCCAATCTTGTTAATAACGCTGCAGTATATTTTGTGAATTTTAATTTCGTATCAAAAAAACATGTATTGAACATGTTTGTGATCTTTGGAACTTACAAATAGCATAGTCTGATGAAAAGCTTGTTGTATGTGCAATTTTAAAAATTTAAATAACTATAGCTAAACAGTGAAGTGATGTTTAAATGAAGCAAAGTAATAGACATAGTGAGTTCTACAGGTTTTTCTTATGTTATATCTTATATTATTGTTATGGTAAATTAAAAACAAAACTACATACCGTTTGTTGTTACTTATTATTCCTGTTGCAGGTAAATTTCAGAGGATAACGATATCTAATTATCTAAGTGACCATCAGATTAAAAACGTTAAACTACTGAGGTAAAGTTCGTTTGGAAAATATATTGGTTAGCATAGAGATTACGGAAATTGAAAATTATGACGGGCCAAATGTTAATGAAGTGTTAAACAATTTCACTTTTTGCTAACTTGTGGCTGACAATTCAAAAAATTAAAATACAATACTTTAACATAAAAAAATCTTAAAATTATGTCCACTGAAGGTTGTTAACCAAATATGAAATATGTCACGTGATTATTGCCCGTAATTGATCAATTTGTGCATGGGGAATTGAGGCCGAGCCCATACAATGGAGCGGGCTTTACATTACCATTACCATACCCATAGGACATCATCGACATCAATAACACATTAGTATAAAGCTAAGCAGCTTACAGAAGCAGCCTTGCAGGCATGCCAATATATTGTAGTCAAACGATATCAAATAATCTTATAATGATCTAATCTTATACTTGTAAATAATTTTAATGGTTTTATAAATATTTCCAACCGTTGTATTGTGTAGTTGTTGTCTTCTACATTCATTTTTTGGAGAAGGAAAATTTTTTAATGAAACCTCAAAAATCCTCGATAATATAGGTAATATAGGGTAATATAGTCTGCAGGATTGCTGTAGCGGGGTATTTTAATAAAAAGGTAAGATTATATTCAAAGAAAGGTTAATCATCTTCATGAGTTTAGTTTCAATTTTCTTTCAAACAATTAACGTGTTAAAAATTACTCCTAGATAGATATTCAGGATTATTCTTAATACATATAACCCCACTGTATTTATAATATTCAGTACATTTTAAGAGTAATTAATTAATATTTCGGTTCGGCTATACACACCAAATTTGATTGACTTTTTTCTAAAGAGTTCTTCAGGCTGTAAAGGTGTATCAGTTTTACGAAATGATCTTAAAAGTGTATATAAAGTGTTCGATGAAAACTTTATCTGTAAAATAAATTGTCTGCTTAGCAAAAAATCTGTCAAATAAACTTACAGCAATAAAAATTAACCAATTGTTAATACATTACTTCCATTATCATCTTATTTAACTTTTGGTAAGATGAAATATGTTTACATACTTTTATAAATGTCATATTATGAATAAATAATAAAATTTAAACCAATCTCAAAACAACGTACATTTATATTAATTTATTAAGTAGAAGTCTAAAGTATTTACAGTACAGCACAATTCGTGTTTGACAAATTTGCAAACACTCACACATATTCACTAATAAATACTTGCGGTAAATTATAAGTTAACTATCATAAATGGTTGTACAGTAGTTATATTGTTTATTTCTGATAACAAGAGCGTTCTATCAGGGTTTCGATAAATAATTAGGTAAATTGCATTGCTAATTGTTGAGTAAATAAAATATGTATACATCTAAACATTTTTATATTTACTTGTATGTTAAAATCAGCCTAAATATCACAAGTGATTTTTTCATTGTGTATATAATGTGAAAATAATGGTCAAACGCTGGTGAATATACTTCTAGCGAATTTATATATCTCACAATCAATTTCGAGAGAAACTATTGTGGAATGCTATTTGTATACTTATTTAATAAAATAATTGAAGCTTCGCTACCAAATCATGTCTGGAACAACCAAGACACATGCAGTAAAGCCTTTTCAGAAATAAAACGGGCCTTCACTGTTAGTTGTAAAACTTTATGTTCGATATCTCTGTTTATTATACAACTGTTAGGGAACTGCTGTTCAATGAGTCGAGTTCTCAAATTACAGATATTGAAAGACATCGGATTTTATGACAGTTTTCTCTTGTAAACATATCGTTGTCATCATATGCATAAAAGAGTTTTTGAATGTGTATTGCTGAGTATGATTTTTTAAATGCGTAATATCCCAATCAAGAACAGTTTATTTCTAAATTATCCTTGTTTCTCTTAATTTAACCACATCAATTTTATTAGGTTGTTTATGTGACTTTGTAAAATAACGTTTATTTAATATTGTAGTTGGAGTAACGTTTTTCTGACAATATACAGGGTGTCCCGAAACCAAATTTTAAATAGCCTCCATTTTTTTTATGAATTTAAAAACTTTTCATAATTTTTTCTAGCTTTGTCTAGTTGTCATAAATGTTTGTGCAAAGTTTCAATTTCGTATGTTTAACCATTCTTAAAAAAAAAAAATGTGTTGAAAGTACTGTATGTATATTCTCTACTGCCTGCCATTTGAAGATAAAACTATATGTTTTATTAATTGTAATGATCTATTTATATTACTTGTTTACATTTTTCCAGTTTTGTTCTCAACCATGCTAATAAGCCATCTATTGTTTTTCATCTCTTTTATTTAGTAAAGTCTAATCAACAAAATGGTGGCTGTGTGAGTAACTTAAGACTTTTGGACAATTTAAATATGGTATTTAGATACGTTTCTTACTCAGGAACAATACTCTAAAACTTTGGTAGAGAGGTACACCCTGGGACACCCTGTATTTACTAAGCTAACAAAATATTTACAGTATTATTTTGATTTTATATGAACTAATTTATTCATAAATCTAGTTGATAATCGTACTTATATTGGTTTTACTACGAATTAACATTAATATTAATTAATATAATATTTATACTTTTTCAGATTGCTGAAGAATGAATGAACAGCCCAAATGAAACATCACGCATAGGTATGTTATTTATTTCGTCATATTATATTCTTATACATGAATATACATTCATATCTATTCATTATATACATATTTACTTTATATATAGTTATTTATTTCTTGTGAATATAAATTTTCTTGGATTGCAACCATAATGTATTTTGTTAAGTCCTTTCAAAGTTTGCTTTTAAGATATTTTGTATTGACATGTTTAAGACTGTCTAAATCTTCTTATCACAAAATTTCTCATAAATATATTTTTGTATAACCTAAATATCCTTAACGACCTCTCTTTGAGCTATATAATGCAAGAATTATAAACCTCTCACGCATTATATAAAATATTAGGTATTTTAATTACAATAATTAGATGTATCAGAATAAAATCTATGTTTTTATTTGAAATATATGTTACTGTACTAAATTTTGGATGAAATATGAAAATCCTATTTCAACCATTTACGGTTGCATCTGACAAGTTAAATAGTTTTCAAAAGTTCTCTTAACATACATTACTTTTGAACAAAAATTGGAGTTACTTCTTCGTCATGAAAGAAACTTTTAATACCAGTAACATTTTGTGCTAAAAAGTTGTTCCCTGCTTTAAAATTCACAAACAACTTTAAATCTGTATGCAGTTTTTAGCTTCGTAACGTTAAATTTTAATTTGATTCTTTTTACCTGTTTGTCTTAAGCCTGCAGATCACTGTTGGTATTATTAGGATTAGGTAGTTTGTGTTAAACACAATTTCCCAATGGTTTTGCTTCAAGTTCAAACCTGTTGTAGGTCGAACAATTATTTACGGCTAAACAAAGTTCCGATTAACTCCGCTTACTCAAGTTTGCAAGTCTTGTTAAGTGAAGTTTGCTCAAATTACTTGACAGTAGGCTCTTAATATTGACAGGTATTCGACGCTGTCAAAAACACTTAGCGAAAGTTTCATTATATAAACGGCACAGTGAATAATTTGACTGGCATTTGAGGCTTGGTCATTCTTAAGCAATGATGCTATTACCGTAGTACTCATGGTAATACCTGGACCAGGGACCGATTTGATTTTTCGTTTTGAGGTCCCTAGAGGCCCAAAACACCATCCGTTCAAATTCATATTTAAATATACGTGTCCGTTAGAACGATAACTCGAGGAAAGATGATCCGATTTTGATTAAATTTGGTATAAACGTGTAAACACATTTATTCAAACGGATTTGCGAATTAGCATGATCGGACTACGGAAACGGGAGTTTATGGTAAAAGTTGGTTTATGGGGTAAAAGTTGGTTTCCCCATTTTTGACCCAAAAATAAAAAATATTTAGCAATTTATTTCCAAATCATATTTTAAAGCTTAAAAAACAAATAATTTAGTATATTGAAGCGCTACTATGCGCCTAATGGTCACGGAGAAAATTTCAAAATATTGTTAATTTAAAATGTCCATGTTATTCTTATGGAGAATAATGCAGTTTACTTGTTTATGAACATATTTAGATGAAATTTGGAAAATGCATTTATTTCATAATAGCCTATTAACTATTAAATATTAACATTTGACAAAAAAAACACTTCTTTACTCTCCCTGTTGCATTACCTAAGCGCAATTAAAAAATTTAATTAATTTGCAACCTAAGGCAAATGGAAATTCGCTTAGTCTGCAGGTTCGCTGCAAGAGTATTTTTTCTTTTAAGAAAATTTACGGGCAAAAGAATGATTCTGCAACTAATTGTAACCAAATCTTAGACATTATTTCGCCAAAACTGCGAACATCTTCGATGACTAAGCACATGACTTTTAATACCGTTTCCACGTTACTTTACAAATTAAATATACCTTAAAAAAAGCCGAACTAATTCTTCAAATGTAGTGCACAAATTCTTCTTCTTAGTACAGGTATTGAATAACCCTTTACAACAAAGCTACCGGTGCCAAATTGGGTTTCAGACGTCTAAAAATCAGTATAGCAAAACATATTAATTTACACTAAAGCAGTTTCCAGAAGTGTCTAAACTTCCTGAATAAAGAATAATTTTTAACAGGAGTCTATTTTAGAAAACTGAACGATGAAAGTGTTTTAGATAATATATGTGTAACTCCAATACCCCAACCCTTCAACCCCTGGGTTTAAACTACCCTTTAAGCGTATAAGATGTTCTTTGCAGGTCAAAGAAATAGGTCAGGTTTTGGGGTCAACATAGCTATTGTAATAAGGAGGACGTTGGACTTTATGTAGCCTTATTTAAGTGGAAGAATTCTACTATATCGTCCACAATAAAATAATTCAACTTCGTAGGTTGGGACAAATTTTTTTTTATCAACCTAAGTTCATATATTTTTTTAGAATCTCCTCAGCTTTATCATTTATTTTGACCTAATTGTTGACATTATCTAACTTTCTAATGGTTTTCGATTTTCCTAAATTTTCTTACGAGTTAAATTTACTTATTCATATATTTTTTCACTTGTATTACTTTGTACAAAATTAATTAACGTATTTTATATTAGGTGTTTTAAAAGTTGTTTTTAACTTTAATACTGTAAAAATGATGTTAATGATCGGTTTCAGATTATGCTTGTCAGCTCTTTTATTTATTGTAGGTTATTTCATAGGCAATTATATTGTTTTACTTATAATCGATTCATTGGTGTTTCCCGCCAACTCTACCTAATATTTTATATTTTTTTATATTTTATTCCATGAATAACCGTTTATAGCTACCAAACTCTATACTATTTTTTCCTAAACCACAGAGTTGTTGGTTTTTACAGCACGAGTCAAGAAATGTCTATAAAACAATTTTAATTGAACAGGGCTGTAAAAATATTATTATAATAATATAGAAGTAAATCGTTACCAGAACACAACATAGTTGCAATTCCACTATATGTTATTTATATCTACAAATGTATTACCCACGCAAAAAACTCTTATAACGCAATAAGTCAAATTTGATTACCTTTTTCCAAACTAAATTTGATTCCGAGCATACGATAGTGATAACAGTTTTATAGTGAAAACCAATCTATTTATTTAACTTCATGTGGTTTTTCCAAACAAGGTTTATAAAGTTGAAAAAAGGAATTTTTTACATTGGAAATAGCTAATAACACTGTTTGCTAATGTACTTTAATTTTAGAGGCAAAATTGTTACTTGCCACAGACTTTCATTTATTATGTTAAAGGTCAGAAAGAAAACAGTATATTTGAAATAATTATACTTAATAGAAAACAAATAAATAGCTGTTATGTTAATTAAAATTGATGTTTTAAACTATTCGTTTTTTTATGTTTAAAGTTTTTCAAGTTATGTTAATGTGATTACGTTTCAACATGTACTTGCCAATATTTAGTTAATTAAAGTCATTCTGTATACTAAATATTATTAATTGACCATCGTGTTATAATTGACACATGCTTTACTACTACAACCCAATTAAAGCGAGACTTTTGCTCAAAGTCAAAGGCCAAATGAAACTTGTACACATTGACTTTGAAATGTATCAAAGACAAGGTCATGGACGCATGTAATATAAAATATTATTTTTGATGAAAATAAATAAATTGCACTTATTTTAATTACTATAATGTTTTGTCTGATCAACATTATAATCTAAATAAGGTTTCAAAAGCCTTCAGTTAGTTTTCGTTTTATCAATATACTATTCTTTGTATGAAAATCATTTTTCAATAATGTGTTGATTAATTCAATGATATTTTGGTATTTCGTCTTGTACGTTTGTATAAGGCAAAGGAAAATATTGCTTAAATGTGTCATATGTAATAAATAGTTTAGTTTTAAAATACAATACATATATTTATAGTATATGTTAATTAATATACGATCAAACGGTGTATTCTTTGAATAAAGATTACAAAAAAATCCAAATTAATTTTGTCATTTAATGAATCAGATTACTAACTAGTCAGTTTCTTTTTATGCTAAACAAAGAGAATTCTTATATTTTACCTCTATAAAAACGATTTCTAAATTTCTAGAGCTTTAAAATATACACTTTTTAAAAATATTCATAACTAGCTGGCCCGACAGACGTCGTCCTGTCCTAACGTGGTTTTATGTCAAATGCTCGTTCATTTTTAAGATGAGCTCGTTCGCATGGCTCAATTACGTCCTGGTTGAAGTTCGTTCGTTACGTTCACTCACCTTTAGGTTGGAGCTCGTTCGCTGCGCTCACTTGCCTGCAGGTTAGCTCGTTCGCTACGCTAACTCGCCTCCATGTTGAAGTTCGTTCGCTACGCTCACTCACCTTTTGGTCGCAAATTAGCTGTTGTCATAAACTAAAAAAAAATAATAGCGCTGCACCCTGTTGGTAAACCTATTAACTTTTTAATGCTATTGAACATCGCAGAATCAAATTGTTTAGTTGAACCAGCTGTAAAGATTCTTTAATTCCATTTGAATGTGAGTACTAATAAGGTCAACATGGGAAACTGCAGAGCCACTGGGGCAGAGCTCTTTTGACGGATCTGCACCAAACTTCACACAAACCATCCTTGAACAATGCTTAATAATGCCTGAAAGTTTCATTACAATCTGTTAAACGGTTTCGGAGTCCATAAAGGACAAACAAACAAACATACATACATTGGATTTTATATATATAGAAGACATCAATACCTGGTGGTATTTTTAATCCCTGAAAATTGGTAGGACGCCCAATGCTGTAATAATTACGGTTTAAATATCATTTACTAATATATATCATAATATATATATATATATATATAATAAAATATCGTTGCTACTCCCACCTCTTACTATAACGATTGTTTACAAGCTGGTAGGAGAAAGTATGCGTCAGTTTGCTGATTCAGTTTTTTTATCTAACCGCTTAAATAAAGAATATATAATTCATAACCAAAATCTGCACTACAAATAGAAAGGCCGTTTTATTCAGCTATCACAATTCAGTTCCATTCTTAAAATATTACATACTTACTTAGAAATAGTATATTTTCATCACTAGGGCTTAAAGAGACTCTTTTTGACCTGAGGTCAAGTTTTA